ATGCTGCCCCCCCACCCAGCCGCGGCGCCGTCCCGCGCGACAGTGATTCCAAAGCGGACGGCTCCGGGGCGGCGGCGGGCCTCGCGACGCGCGTCCTCCAGAAAAGCCAGGGCCGCCACGGGCCGCCGGACGGGTCCTGCCGTCCCGCCCAGCCCCCTCACCTTCACGCGGTTGAGCCCGGCCTCCATCCGGAGCTGCTGAACCACCTTCTTCATCGCGGCGACGCTGGAGGACCCAGACATGGCGCACGGGAGCCGAGGCTGACGCGTCGGAGCGAGGGGCGGCGGGCGGCGGAGCGGCGGGGCCAGACGAAGGGGCAGCGCGCGGCGGGGGCGGGGCTCCCAACTTTGTCTCTAAGTTTCCGGCCCGGTGTCTGGGACTCCACCCTGGGTGCGCATGCGCCGCTGCCGCCCCCGTCGGAGCGCGGGCCGGGGGGAAAAGGAGGGTGAAGTGAAGGAGAGAGAGGGGCGGAGCCGTCGGTGGGGGCGGAGCCGTCGGTGAGCGCGGCGGCGGCTGAGGCAGTGGGCGTGTGCGGCCGCTCGCCGGTCCTGTCCGTCCTGGTGGGATGCTGGTTTGGGAGAGGTAAGGAAGGAGCGTGCCGTCGCCCGCCCACCTCCGAGCGGGGCTTTGAAGGAAGACCTCGAAAGGAAATGAGATGCCCGAGGGAGTCGGGCTCCGGGGGCCGAGGGGTGGGGCGGCGGCGGGACGGGCGGCCGGACGGGGAGGGCACGGTCTGGTGAATCACCCGCCCCCTGGAGGTTGGAACCAACCGGCGTCCTCCGGTGCGGGGCGCGGAGTGGAGGTAACGGCCCGGCGGGAGCGGGCCCGCGGGGCCGGCGAGGTCGCCTCGGGCCTCCCGGATTCGCTGTGCGGGAGTCGGTGTTGGCCGGCGGGGACACCGCGTCCTGTGCGGGAGGAGCCCTCGCCGTCCTTGTGTAAATGAAACCTTGTGTGTGTGTGTGTTTCGGGCCCGTTGATTTCGCGCGCTGGGGCGGTAGTGATTGTTTTGGAAGCCCGAAGCGGGTGTTGAGGCTCGGCAGGCTCTGGGATGTGATCCGGAGTAGTGGAGGCCCAGCCAGTGTGTCTTTGACCCGCAGACACGCACCTTGAATCACAGTGCTGAAGTTTCCCGTGGCTGTTAGGGGAGTCCCGCCTCCCAATACCTTGGAGTTGTCCATGAACTTCAATCATTTCATCGTAAATCATTTCAACAAACAGATGCATTAAAAGAGGTTTGTGCAGTGGGAAAATAGCGCGATTTGCCCTGGACCGGCAAATCCCATTTACAGAACCGTTTCTATGAACTTACAAAAAAAAAAAAGGTGAACTTTAGTCATTCATCAGGTGGTTATAACGACTGGGATGAGAAAGCAGGGATTGAATTCTGGTCCTACTAATTCCTTGAATAACCTTGAACACGCCCTTTAAAACTGTTAAACGTCTGCTTCCTCATTTCAAAATAAAATTTCAAAAACTTCCTGAAATTGTTTTTGAGATGAAATTCTGAGCGTAAAGAATATGAAAGAAAGCTCAATAAATATTTTTTTGTTTCCCCAGTAGTAATTTGAATTATTTCCTGTCAGTGCTTTGACTATTTAAAATATGCTAAAAATCTTGCTCATAATTTATATATTTGTAATTTTAAACACAAGTAGCTTTAGTAAAAGATTGTCTATTTTATAGTAGTTGTAGAATACACCCATAAACTCCTAAGGTATTAACTGGGAATATCAAGGCTAGAAAGGAGTTAAAGGAATACATGGCCCAACCCTTTACCTCCCCTTTTGTGAGGAAAAGTATTGTTTTAAAGTTTTGTATTAGTTTTAAATAGTCTCAAAAATTGTTTTTATTTTTATTTTTTTGGTCCGGTTGTGGGGCCTGAACTC